AAGTTTTTATTAAAAAAATTAAACTTTTTAATAAAAACACAGGCAAATTTGCCTGTGTTACAATTTAAGGGATAGAGAACATTGTTATTATCAACTTGTAGCCAACTAATTTCTATAGAGCAATAGAGACTTTCAGATTGAATAACAAATCCATTAGTATAGAATATAAAATTAGTAAAAAATTGATTAATATTAACAATTTGTTAAAAAGTATTAAAGACATTGTTATTATAGAAGAAGAAAGAAATTTGTGAAGTTTGTATAATAAGGTTAGGAAGTGTGAAAATAGAGATAACTTCAAGTTGTTTAATTGAATAAATAAGGTTAAAAGGGTTTGCATTAAAATTAATTGATTTGTCTAAGTAGAATCTGTCTAAAAACTTAGTAGCTAGACTAGTTGAAATAAGAATAATACACTTGTTATTAATAAGATTGGAGTTAAAAAAGTAGTTAGAACATAGTTTAAATGTTATATAAAATGTTGGGTACAATAGTATAAAGTTAGTTATAATATTATATTGCTAGTGGTTAATAAGTATAAGATTAGAATTTGTTGATTAGCAGTGAGCTTTGCTAACAATAGCTTGGTTATTAAGTATTGTAATAAGCCAGGGCTTAGAATGCTTTGAAAAGAGGCCAGTATTGTAACTATAATAATTGTTTAGTGATAGATTTATTTAAAAAGAGATAGTACAGCTAGGAAATAAGCTTGTAATAGAATTTTTGAGCAGTTTGAACTATAGTAAGATTTTGCCTTTATTAAGTCTTGAAAAGATATATTTCTATAGTTCGGAACAGGATAAGACATCCACTTTTTATATAGTAGCTTAAAATCATTATAACTTTTTTAAAAAAAATTAAAATAAAAATTCCTCTTTCAATTTTGTTCTTTTTTATCTAAAGAATAAATCTAAAAGAGGAATTTTTAAAAATTTTAATTTTAAAAAAGTTATAACAGTTTAAAATATATAGCTTTTGAAAATTTGGCACTTATATATAATTTTATAAAAGTTTATATATAATTTTTAAGAAATTTGATTGGTTAATATTTTTTATTATAAATTTTTATTATAAATTTTTTAAAATTTGACGCTTTTTGCAGTAAAAAGTGGATGTCTTATGCTGTCCTGAACTGTAGTCAAGAAGACAAGAATTATCAATAGTAGTTAGTTGATCAAGAAAGAGAATATGATGATATCTTAATTGTTTTTTAAAAGTAGTATAGTTGGGATATGATACCAAAATAGATTTAAGAGTGATGGATCTCTCTTGAATTGTAGATAGTATAAATATACAAAGATTAGAGTAAATTGTCCAATTTAGAGATTTAAAAAGCTGTATAATTTTAAAATTAGTTGTTAGTCTGTTGGGGCTATCAATAAGGAGATTAGGATGAGACAAGATACTAGTCAAAAACCAAAGATTAAGTTGGAGTTGTTGGACTCAAATATGAATAAATATGCCAAGAAGAGTTTTATTGTTAAGCTATTTAGTAAAATTAGAAATATGGTGTTGAAGTTGAATATTCTAGATATTTTTAATATTGTATATTTGTAGATAAAGAAAAATGCTAGTAGGGATAGTAAAGCAAGGTTTGGCTTTGTGTTTAACAAGGTTAATATATTGTCTGAAAATTTTGTTGCAAACAAATTGGCTAAAGATAATATTATGAATTCTATATTCTAGAGTAAGTATAATTAGAGGTCTTATCTAGTCAAAAAATAGATATTCGAATATTCATTTGTTCAATTATTTATTATTTGAATATTCATTGAAAAATCTGAATAAATATTCGAATATCCGATAAATATTCATTGAATACTGATTTACACATGATCGAATATTTATTTGATTAATGATTGACTAAATATTCAATGAATATTTTTTATGCTTATATTCACTGAATATTTATTTGATCAACGATTATTCAATGAATATTTTTTGTAGCTTAGATTAGAACAAAAACTCTTCAACTCTATCATTATAATGTTTATTAACCTCTTAATAAAACTTGTTTGCTATTACAGTTACATGTATTTTAATGTTCATAGAACAGGATCAAGCTACTCAAATAATACTGACGCAAATTTCTTATAGAGCTAAATATGCATTTGCAAATGACTTAACTATTTAACTTTTAAGTATAAATTTTAATTTAAATTTATTTTCTTTAATATATATATATTATATTTCTAACATGTAAATATTCTATTTCAAAAAATGTTACTACCAAAATTGTAGTACAAGTTTTTTATATTTAATAGTTTTAGAATCTGGCAAAAACTCTATGTGCAAAAAGAGTTACTTAATCAGGTTATAGAGACGCATAATTTTCATAATTTAGTTATTTACCTCTTTAAGATATTTATTTGGCATAAATTTTATCGAGCTTACCATTATTTCATTTTAAAAACAATATGCATTCAAATAACTTAGGCTTCAACATCATTCTTCTAATAGTCATCATATTACTTGCATCACTGAAAAGTCATTTACTTGGAGTTGAAGTTATAGGTATTATGAGATATTGCCTTGCAAGCTTGTTAAGAACAGAAAAAAAGATTTTTTGAAAATTTCACCAGTTAAAAGGGTCAGATTTATAATGGATTTCGGGTAAAGAAAGATAATTATCAAGCTCATCATTTAACTTTTTAGAAGTATCTTGTATAAAAACTATCTTAAAAAATGTTTTTTGATAAATCTGAAGTTGCCTTTCTTGTTTGTCTTGATCTTCACAAGGGCTAAAAGATTTATCAGATGATGTTGAGGCTTTATAAAAAGATTTAATCTTATTATATTTATTGCAAAGGGCAGTCTCAGCTTGGTGTCTCTGGGTTAGTGTTGCAAACATCAATTTTTTACATTTCAAATCAAGAAGGCAAACAAGAAACATATCACTATCAGATAAGTCCAAATAATATAAAAGTGCACTATATAGTGTGTTTTTAATCTTATGCTTTATATTTTTAGTATTTGTAGGTATATTTATATTAATCTTTCTTTTTTTAGGGTCTTCATCTTCCTCTTTCTCAGCATCAATGAATTCAATGTTATCATCGAATGCTAGATCATCGTTTCAAAATTTACTTCACTTAATTTATCATCAGTATAACTTGTAGAAGTAGTTAGATTTCTCATTAACTCCCAAATAGACAGAAGTATATAAGAAATAGTAATATATTCGAAACCACCAAGCTCCTTTGTAGTTTCAAAGAAAGGTCCTAAGATATCAACAAGATCTCTCATTAAATTCCATTCATCGTCAGTTAATTGAATTTCTTTTAATCTCTTTGCATCTTTTCGATCTTCTGGTGTGTTTGAGATAGTCAATATTGTTACAACAATATCAATTGCATCTTTAATTAGTAAAAGGTATTCCCAAGCTAAAAAAGATGAATTCCAACAAGTTGGCATATCTATTTTTACATGAAGGTACATAGAAGTTTTTTTAATTACTTATTAAAAAAAAAAAAAAAAAAAAAATAATAATAATAATAATAATAATAATAATTTAGTTATTTATATTTATACAAAGAATTAACAAATTGTATTATATTATTATCTAAAATTTTTAATGTTTTTTAAGCTTCTTCAAGTCGTTTATTTTGCTTTAGTGCTATAAAGAAATTAATTAGTCGTTTAGCTCTTTTTACAAATGTTTCAGCTAGCATTAGGCCTTTTCTAACTATAGTGTGAGCCGCATATGGAATTCTTATAACATTAGCCATTCTGTTAATTGCTGCCTTCATATTCAATTCATTATCAGTTGTGATCGAGTATATTTTTACTGTAAGACCCCAATTGGCAATTATATTTTTTAACTTTTCTTGAATAACATTAGCAGTATGTGGATATCTAATATAGGATAAAAAAAGCAGTATTTTATAAATTTTGAATTCAGGATCAATCCACGAACAGGTGATGCCAAGATACCCTTGCCTGTTGTGATCCGTCCACAGGTCTGTAATAAGTGAGCAAGTTGTGGCAGTATTTTGTAATTTTTTCTACATATTTTGGGCACACTAATCATACATTTTATGAATTGTTTGCTTTACACTTTTTTCGTTAAGCATATTAAACATTGGATCTAATTCCTTCACAAATTCACAAAAAAATTGGCTTGACACAAGACTAATCGGTTGGGCATTGCAGATAATAAATTTAATGAGAGTTATAGTAAGCTTATCATTCTTTGATTTGCTATGGGGGTATGTATTTTTTATGAATGAGTCAATTTTAGTTTGTGTAGGCTATGTGAAATAATAAATAAAATTAAATGTTAAATTTTTAGTTTAATTATTAATTTAATTATTTATTTAATTATTTATTACTTTGCTGTTGTCACTGTCTGGTCCAGATAATCCAGGCCTATTCTGTGTAATACCATGAGCACTTAAGAGATGAGTTATTAAGCTTGATGTCGAGCCACTTGAAGTTTTTAATCGAATGTTACAATGTTCTTTATCTAAATTATTTAATATTTGACAAATAGCATATGTGACTTCAATATTAACTTTTTGTTTATCAAGGTTTTGAATAGATTCTATTATTTTTTTTTCTTCAAAGTAGCTCCATACCTATCTTTATTTTTTTGAGCCACCTCTTCGACCAACCTTAGTTTTTTTAATAGTAGGCATATTAGAGTTTTTATTATTACTTTTTGCACTTGTGCTTCTAGTTTCGGAGTCTGGGCTATTTGATCTTGTAATGGGATTTGCAAATAATTCAAATTTCTCCATTGTATATCACTAATGGCAATTTTTGGTTTAATTAATCAAGAGCTTTACAAGATATTAGAATAAAATGAGTTAAAGTTATTTTTTGAAGATAAGTACTAGATTTCTTTATTAATTTCAAATTCTTTGGTTTTTATATTTTTGAATTTTGATAAATTTCACTATTACTGATAATTACTATTCATTCAGATAACATATACATGTATATATGTTTATGAGTTAAAATAGGTTGTATGCATAAATTAGAAATAAATACAGTATAACCTGTCAAAACTGATACTGTCAAAACTGATAACCTGTCAAAACTGATAAAAAATTGATCTACCATCTCTTAATTAAATATAGTAATTTTACTCTTCAAATCTGATAACCTGTCAAAACTGATACAAATTTGGTCCACCATGCACATCAGTTTTGACAAGTTATACTGTATAATATTTTAGCACTTAGTATTTTAGTAAATTAAAGTATTAGGCATTGATAATTTAGATTATTAGACAGTGATATTTTAAAACATTAGGTGTTAGTAATTAAAAGTATTAGGCATTAGTAATTAAAAGTATTGGATATTGATATTAAGAGTATATTTGGTATTAACTATTTAGTATAATATATTAGTTATCATTAGATAAAATAAAATTTTTAAAGAATAAGAATTAGTAATTATATATATATATATATATATTACATACCTGTATTATGAAATATATTAATAGGTATCCGTGAGCCAAAGAATAGTAAGTAGTATTATCTAAGCCCTACCTAGTATTGTAAAAGCTTAACACCTAGGCTTTTATCTTTATTTAAAAGCTCAGAAATCTGTATTCTGACCTAGTGATTATAGTACTACTCATAAGTACTTATAGATAGCCTAGGCCTATATAGAAGCCTAAAAATATTGTTTTAATAGTGATTAGATATAGATAATTGTTGCATATTATCATTTGTTTAAATATTTATTTACTTAGTATATGTATTATTTTTATTGTTACAAGAATATTTTCAAGATAAAAGATTTTCACAATTAATTTTTTGTAAATAGGCTGTTTTTTTAGTAACAGATCAATTACTATATTAAAGAACATATATATTAATGAAACTTATTAGATTTACTACTTAGTTTTTTTTTTTTTTTTAATATTAAGATAACCACTTAAGCTATTGGTATAAGCTTTATTCAAATAGTTATGATATTATATCCATTTCACAAAGATACAACTTAGCCACATATGCACCTTTTGGGTACCTAATTTAAATAGTTCATCTAGGTTCTACACTAGGCACTATATCTGCAATCTAACTAGAAGATTATCTATTTAAGCTCTCTGGTTATTTTTAACGAGAGTACGACTAGCTATATATACAACTTTTGGTTGTCTATTTAAGTAGTCTACTCTAGATTCTATACTAGCTGCCATACTTATAACCCAACTAGGGAGTTACCTATTTAAATCCTCTGGCTATCACTTTTAACACGCCCTACCCTAATACTTATACAAGATTAGCAATTGCTATGAATGACTCTAAGACTTTAGCCAAACTATATTGGGGTATTTATCCTTGTAGTAAATCTAACAAAATAGTACATGTTCTACCTATGTATTTACCTGCATATTCCAGTAATTTTTACCTAACTAGTATCTGTTGTACTACTGCTATCAGGTTTATATCTCAAGCTATCTTTTCAGATACTGCCGTAACCTGATCTGTATCTCAAGCTACAATCTTCCTAATTAGGAATCCATTATGTACTCCTTGCTCTTGTGAGATTCACAACAACCTCGGTACCTATATTCTAACTTCCTTTTTTTCTGAATTCCTTATTGGTCTCTCACTTATTTCCAGCCAGCAACCCGAAGAGTTGGTCTGTCCAAGCTTTAGATACCTTATGATCGCCCTCCTCTTGGTACATGCTTCCAAAGTACAAGTCCTTTTTCTTTGGTTGGCAGTCCAGTGGTTCAGCTAGTATATTCTCTCATTTAAGAATTTGGTTATTCGGTTCTCTAGTCTCAGTCCTCGGTTTCAAATTTGGCCTTCCTGTAACACTGTCAAAAATCACTATTACTCCATACTCAGGACTTGCCAAACAGGTTTTCAGTAATTCTGATTTCCTAGATTTATTGTGCCGAGGCTCCTATTCGAGATGGTGTGACCAAGATTATAGATATCTGGATCCAACCAATAATCTTAACATTAACTGATACAGATCTAGTTTTTTCAAAATCATCATTCGTGGGATTCAAACTCTAAACCTGCCATCTGAAGGTGCGACAACTCCACCACTTCACTAAGTTGCCACACCCTTATTTACTACTTAGTTTAGCTAAATAGTATTTATATTTCACTATATATCTATTTTCTATTTCTTTAGTTTTAGAATAATAAAACCCACTTTAGCACAAATCTTGCATTGAAAATGGTAATACAAAACCCATAGAAATAGATATATTTAAAATATAATAATTTTTTAAATAATTTAAAAAATTCTGTTATAAGAAATAAACAATTACTAACTCAAAGCTAAAGTCAAAGTTATAATAGAAAATTATAAAGTTTTTTAAATTTATTAAAAAAACTTAAGATCTTTTATATATTTCTGCAAAATATAATTTTCTATTACTAAGTATTATACATATATATATATTTTTTGTTTTAACAATATATTTATATCTTACATCAAGAAATTTTTAAATTGGTTTGCAATCGATTGATAGAAAGAAATATCAATTGATAAGCAACATCCTTGTCAATTATTAGTGATATTGATTAGAATTAATTGACAACAAAATTGCTAATTAAATCAATTAAAATTACTTTGATTGAAATCGATTGATATCAAACTAAATTAAAATTAATTATTTTTTAATTGAGTGTATATCGATTAACTACTAATATCGATTATTGTCAATTTTTTTAATTGATAGCAATTGTCTCTGCAGCTGGTAATCGATATCTACTCTATTTAAAAATTTTCTGATATAATTAACTTATTATTATATTAAATAGCATTTTTTATCAAATATCTAGCTAATTATAATTCTCTAATTCATGAATTTATATTTAGTACTTGTATGATTTGTCTTGTTATATTTTTGTATTATTAATAATTCTAATTATATACAAATAAGAATTAACTAAAGAATATTAAAATATTAGATTTGTATATTAATATTACTATGTAGTAAATTTGTAGCTGCAAGTAATCTATATATAAACATTAGCTTGAAAGTAAAAATTATTATTATTATTTTTTTTTTTGGTATTAAGGTAATCTTTTTGGTTATAAGAACTCTTTATTAGTAATTATTTGCTATTATAGTTATAATATAGATACAACTAGCTATATATGTATCTTTTAAGTACCTATTTAAATAGTCTACTCACAGATTCTATACTAGATATTATACCTATAACCTAATTAGAAAGTTATCTATTTAAACCTTTTGATTCTAACTATTTTTAAACATATTATACTAACCCAGAAACTACCAATAGCTCATTTTACTAGATTGTACACTACTGCTTTAAAATTTCTGCAACTTATTCTAGATTTGTATCAACTAATTACTGGTTTGTATTTCTCTATTAAGTAGATATATAGCTATCCTTGAATTAAATTTACCAGAGCTTTTTCTATCCTATTTGGGCCAATTTGGTTTTGTACAGTTGCCAAGGCTTCTATTTGCATTTGAGATTATTCCTATTTAATTGCTTTTGTTCTTATAAGGTTTACTACTAATTTTGGTACTCATATTCAGACTTTTTTCTATTATTTTCTTATTAGTCTATCCCTTATTTCTAACTAGTAATTTAGAAGATTTGATCTTGGCTTGGTTTTAGATACTGGTGTCCTCATCTTGTTTTAGTATATAATTTTTTAGTATATATCATTTTTTTTCAATTTGGTAGGCTAGTTGTTTGAACATGCCTAGCATTTTTTTATCAGTCACCTAACTTCTATAGCCCCAGATTTTGGTGGGTAGGGCCTTCACTACTAGTTTTTTATACTAGTTGGCTAGAGTTGGTATACTTTATAATATTTTACAGATTTTTAACTTTCTAAATTAGTGGTTAGGTTGATAAATTCCTACTAAAGAATCTTGTTATTATTTAGTTCTTTAATCTTAGTCCTAACTTTTAAATTCAGATTTTTCTTGTAGTACTATTGAAGATCATAGCTACTTCTTACTTAGGTCTTTTTAAATGAGTTTCGATTATCTCAGTTTTTTGGCCTTTTATATACCAAAGCTTCTATATAAATATGATGTTATCAAGATTACAGGTTCTAGAACCAACTGATCAACAGATAATCATTACTGCAATGCAATTTATTTTTTAAAAGGAAGTAAAAATTATATTATACAATAGAATTAATTTAAATATAAAACTTCTAAATTAAACTATTTTATAATATTTTGTTTTAAAGTTATTGTTTATATAGTGAGATACTATATTATTGTAGACACTTTTTAAAAATTTGTATAAATAAGATATAAAGCTAAAAATTAAAATATAAATTTATTAAATCTATATCTTTTAAATAAAAAAAAAAAAGGGTGTAGTGACTTAGTGAAGTAGTGGAGTTGTCGCATCCCAGACGGCAGGTCTAGAGTTTGAATCCCATGGATATTATTTTCGAAAAATAGCTCTGTGATATGGTTAATAGCTATTCGACAATTGGTAGGATCTAGAAATCTGTAATCTCAGTTACACTATCTAGAATAGGAGCCTTGGCATAATAAATCCAAGATACTAGAAAAACCAAAAGCCTGTTTGGCAAGTTCTAAGTAGTGATTTAAGCCATAAGGTTTTAGTTGGCTGGCTAAGCTAGCCAACTAAGATATCAGCTAATTGGCTGGCTAATAGCTATACTTCTGGAAAATTTCTGTAAACTTGCCAAAAATTTTGCTCGTATTTTATAATTTATCAGAATCTACTATATACTAATCTTTAGCCACATTAGCCAGCTAAATACATTATATTGGCTGGCTCAGCTAACTAAG